ACCCATTGGTGACATCAAAAGAAAAAGATGTAAGTATTTGATTTTGAATTGTAGTAGAATGCCTATGTTGAGGTGTGTTCCATAGGTTTGATGTGGTTACTTTTGTGTGTTGTATATTTGCTTGTCATCAGACTTAGGAGACTATGAATAAAACCCTGCTTAATTGAACATACAATTTATGAACCAGTTTTCCTCATCATTTGAGGTACAACTGACAATGAAAAAGGATATTGGTACAAGTAACATGAGAAATAGCTCCCTCAATATATACAGATAGTCCCCTACTTAAGAACATTCTACTTATGAACATTCCATACGTACAACAAAATTTTTTAAGTACTAAAGTCCAAAAAATTGTTTGAAAGATGTTAGCAAACTTCAAGTTTCCTGGGCGCGAATATAGTTCAAGAGTCTGGTACTGTATAAGGTATGTCGTACTTATTGCAATTTATTTCCAGGTATTCTTAATGTAAACAAAACTTTAAAACAATGGGAAAAAAAGGTAATGGGGACTTTCGACATACAAACAAATCAACTTACAGACAGCCTCTCGGTCCCCATTATGTTCTTAAGTTGGGGACTTACTGTATTATGACATGAGATCCTCATCCTAAGTTGTTACTGGGAGTCATTGATCTTGAAGAACCAAGAGAGAAGCTGGTTTTCCCTCTAGATCCGAGTTCCTGATTTTTAATAGCTTATAATATTTGCAGGTTCTTGTGAAGAGTGGAGTTGGAAGTGGAATGAAGACTGTTGTACCACAGAACATTGCTTTTATGGTGCCAATTATCCGATACCATGAGACTGAAGGTGCTATATACCTCGTGCTGAAGTTCATCAGGTAAGGGGTTTGTTCACTTTCTCATGTAGATTGTCATGGGTATAGAAATAAATGATATTCATATGTCATGCCTTGGATCTTACTGAAAGAAATTTCTTTGGTCAACAGTGGTGGAAAATTGTGGAGTCACATAAGAAATTACGTCATGGATGAATACCCAAAAGTAAGCACAGCCTTTAATACCACAAGCAGTGCATATACAGGCCGGCGCTTATTGACTGAGACATCTGAATGCGATGGTTATGTCAGTGAAGCCCTATCTTTGTGTGAAACTTCATCTACAGCTTCCCATGTACCCCCTGTACCCTCTCCAAACTTGTCCTGCAATCAAGGAACACCGTCCACCAACAACTTCCTCACCGTCCCAGACTTCAATTCTTTTGGTGGGAGCTCTGACTGCTCCGAAGCTTCCTCCTCATGCCTTCCTGACAGCTACCTTCAGATTTTCTCAGAATACACCCATAGCCTCCCGTCCTCTACGTCTATGGTCATCCCTCCAGTAGGACACACAACAAATACCATCCCACGCACGGTGCACAAGTCGAGTAGTGCCGGGGCTATAGTGCAAGCTTCAGGATATGCAGGCGATGTTGTAGCAGTGAGTGAGAGAGTTCTTGCCAACAACCAGGCATTGAAAAGCAAGGAGCAGCATTTACCCCACAGTCTGGAACAGAGGAATAAAGTGGACGTCCCAAATGGGGAGGACAACAGGAGCATTGGAAGTGATACCCTTTCAGGAGTGAGTGAAGATTTTAGTTGCTCAATATCTGTGAATGATGTGAACCTCCAACCAGATCCTTTGCCACTGCTGGAGGTAAAAGTGACTGATGATTACAAAGAAAGTAATGATGATATTCTCGATGGAGGTGAAAAATCTCAACAAGACGGCTATTCAAGTAGCATTAATGGACGTTCTAGTAATGAGGTTTTTGTGAGTTGCTCAGATGGAACTGGTGTAGAACGAGACACTGATGGAAGTGAACTGTATATGAGCCAGTCAATAAAGAATGGAGATTTATTACCAGTAGATTCAGTGGTTGCAAAGTCAGCAGCAGCATCAGACAACCAGTTGCAAGTGGAGGAGGAAAGGGAAGATATCAGTATTACTGACACATCTTTCAATAGCATAACACTCCCCTCATTTTCCTGGACTAAGAGGGAAGATTCTGAACTAGCATCATTGGATATTGAAGACCTTATTAGAAACTCCAAACAGTTGCTGCAAAATGTTGATCATACATTGCAACAGAGCAAAAATCAGAGTATTGCAACATTCAATGATTCTGATGATAGCACTTCCGTAGAACATTCAGAGCTTCCATTCGACAGCGTGAGTACAGGGTTAGATCTGCCCCAAAATGGCAAGAGTTGTGTCCCAAGGGGGGAAATTGAGACCAAAAGTGTTGAGAATAATTCATATGCCACACCTGTACAAGACTCAGCACAGCTTCAAAGCCAATCAGAACTCAGACCACATAAAGTAGACAAAGGTAGTAAGTCAGAAGTTGGAGAAAGTTCTGTTAGTCTTATGATTGAAAATGGATGTGCAGCAATTTGTGACAAAAAGAATGCAAGTACTGTAGATGAAGTTGATAGATCTGTGGACAATGTGAAATCTCAACCTACCCAAGTATGTTCTGGACTTAGTAGTAATAGCAT